TGGTGATCAGGGCGAACGGGAGACGAGGATCAGTGTGGGTGGTGGAGCGGATGGCGCGAGGCTGGGGGGGAGGGGGGCCTAAGAAGGGCGATGGGGCGATGTGATTTGCGGGCGGGCGGGAAGGGGACGGCAGAGGCAGGGCCCCGGGCAGTGGATTTGAGGGCGGCGCGGCGCCCGGGGCGTGGATTTGAGGGCGGCGCGGCGCAGTAATTGTTTTAAGGGAGCGAACAAGAGCTGTCGGAAGCCCCGGGCAGAGAAGTGACAATTGGGTTAAACTGGCGAAGCAACGAAAATGAGTTGGCCACGACTGGCTGTGAAGTGGGCTGTCTTGGGAAGGCCGTATTGTAAAATACGTGGTTTTAAGGCTCGGCGTGTTTTTCTTTTGCTTAAAACGTTTCAAGAGAAAACCGACTTTATTGCAAAAACAGTACGGTAATTTTTGGTAATATTTTTTGGAATGAATTCCCTTATTTTCTCCGTAGTAATTTATGATTTATTATGTGATTTAGAATACCAGACGTCATAATTTTACTTTGATAAATGATCATAGGTTGCGCCTCAAGTTCCGTCTCGGGCATGGGTGTATTTGTGTGTGTTTATATACGTGTGCCGTCCTTCATCCCTCACGTCATCATGATCATCATCTCATCGTTCATACCCCCAGGGCTAAGATCCTTGGGGGGTAAAAAACGGGATTCAGCTAAAATGCTTATCTCCTCCCCCCAACGAAGGATCCTTGCACCTGCTGAAGCAAGATTCATGCGTGGTTCGAGTTGGCCTATTCGCGAGAAAAAGACGTTTATTTAGGGAATAATATTTAAGGTAGCGAGCATTTTTTGAATGTTTCTTTTAAAATAGCCTTTTAATTCAAACTATTTCGTTTTTCATATAATTTCCTTTTTTGTTCGAAAATTCATAGAAGCAGTAATCAGTGAAGTAAAAACCAATATCATTACATTTTAATTACTATCCTCAACTAAATAACTACTAATATAGTTGTAAATGCTTTATGAACAATGATATGTACTAGTGGACTAAATATTTCGATCCTACTCATTTTTTTAAAAAAAAGTTTTTCTTCATATTGATTCCTGTAATAGAAGGCAGTTAAAAGCAACACACGTCTTAAAACGCAGTGTCTCAATCGCAACAAGGTTGCCTCAATGTGAATACTTTTTGTTGTTGTTTTTTTAACCAACGCCCACTCTTGGCATGTTAGCCATTCGGTGACGAGCCGACTAGTATAGACGCGCAGGCTTTCCCCTCAGCTTGTAATGATCCGCACCGCCCACAATAGTCAAGCGAATGGTGCTCATTTAGCGTTACCGAGAGGACACGTAGACCACAGGTAGACACGGACGCGAGCAACTTTGTCCCCGCTGTGAATTTATTATTTATTATTATTTATTAGTATTTATTATTAAAGGAGGTGATAGGATATTAGTGAAATGTGATTTTGAACCATCCCCGCATTCGCCTTATGAAAACCCCGGTCAGGATGGCTGGCCCGGAAATCGAACCCAGACCTCCCGATTGCGAAGTCAGCGCTGTTTGCTCTATCCCAACCACCATCAGCATCTTCAATAACCAATCCCTTCCCTGTTACCACCCTGGCGAATGCTGTAGGGTGACTATCCACGAGCCAAGTGAGAGAACGCTCCATATTGGGTCTATGGGCTGCTACGACTGTCACTTGCGCGCCAACAAACCTCCCTACCTGTTACATACAGAGTTCAAGGGTTTACGAGTCACCAAAAGGAGAGACAATTTCCGGCCACAATGGCTTACGGTCGACGTGTAATCACGGATTGTAGGTAAGTTTCAATGTTTTCTGAAGTGTAAAAAGGCAATTACCTGAGATCATGGAACATCAGCTACAACCGAAAGAAGAGTAAGTGGCGTTAAAACGCTCATTGATCACTATGACGAATGATAACAACAAACAATGATGCATGCTTTTATTTTCATTTGGGCCCACTGGGCTGCCACACTGGGAGCCGGGGTCCTTGCGGCAGAC